AAGAGCTCAGGTTCATATACAACTTCCTGACCTTTTAACATTCTTCTCCCTGCATAGATCACCAATATAAAAGAATAAAAAGTGGTAGGGTCGTAAAGTAATCCTTCGCAAATACCACAAATAAGTCACTAAGACGTAGCGCCTCCAGCGAAGGAGAAAAGGAGAAGACTCTACATAACACATCACAAAACGTACAAGAAGATAGATGAGAACTGACTGCTTTCTCTAAACTACACAAAGAAGACCTATAAATACTAGCTATAGAAAGAGGTCACGTGACCAGTACCAAGTTTCGCTCACATTAGCTACTCTATTCCTTCTAGCTGTAAAGTCTGGGGAAAGTGTTCGAATTTGCTAGAACTATTATAAATTGAACAATATTATTATTAAAAATCATTATCTATTATCACTAATCAAAGAAATTCTCAATACCTTATATTATACTAAAGTTTATATCAAATTGAATATTATTACTATATTCAATAAATTATGGATTACAGAAGATCACAAATGAAAAACTGTTTTTACAATTCATTTCAACTTATTCGAATTTCTGATAATACCTTTTGGCTTTTATAATACTTCTATCTCATTTCAGAACTATATTAATCATATTCTTTTTAATCTTCTAAATAAGAATTATATAGTATACCTAAACGATATCTTGATCTATTTTGAGAATATTATAGATTATCAAAAACAAGTTTACAAAATCATTTAGAGATTCATTAATACTAGATTACAAATTGATATTAACAAATACAAATTCGAAATAAAAAGAATGAAATACTTTAACTTGATTATTATTCCTAATAATATCGAGATGGATCTTAATAAGGTTAAAACTATTTTCGAATAAAAATCGTTAATTAAACTAAAAGATTTCCAATACTTTTTAGAGTTTGTTAATTTCTATTAACACTTTATTCACAATTTTTCTAAAATTACAGAATCTTTAAATCGTTTACTAAAAAAAGAGAATATATAGAATTGAATTACTAATCAAAAAAATGCCTTTGAAAACCTGAAGTATATCTTTGCCTTTATTCCAATTCTTATAATATTTGATTATTATTACTATATAATTATTGAAACAAATATTTTAGATTGAATTACAGGCAAAATATTTTCTTAATATAATGATGAGGGCTGATTATATCTAATTATATATTTTTTCTTGAAATATAATGTAGTTGAATATAATTATGAGATTTATAATAAGGAATTACTAATTATTATCAAATCTTTAGAAAAATAGAGATTCGAATTATATAAAACCCAAAAGCTATTTAAAATCATTATTAATTATAAGAATTTAGAGTATTTTATATCAATAAAGATATTAAATCAAAAACAAACTAAATAGACTGAATTCTTATTTGGCTTTAACTTTTATATTATATACTGTTCTAACTATAAGGCAATTTGCCCTAATATATTAAGCCGAAAGGCAGAAGACTACCCTATTTATACCGATTCTAATAATAACCAAATCAAAAATTGTTTATAAACGGTTTTTCCAGAAAAAGTGTTCGATAATGTTATACTCAAAGACCTTATTCAATAAGTTAATAATGATATTGATCTTATTACAATCCTTATAAATATGATTATTCCTGATATCGAGAAGCTGATCAATAATCTCATTAATATAATATACAAATTATTTGAATTGATTATTATTATACACAAAACCCTTCAAAACTCAGTTGTCTATTATTAGTCATTATTTATCCGAAAAGACCTTTGAATTGTTCTTTAAGATTATAGATTGATTAATAATAAAATCTTTTATTACAACTATCTTTTCATCCCTCTCTTCATTAAATTCCATACCCAGATTATATATCAAACACATTCTATCAGATCTATCGGATACCCTAACCAAATTAAGATTATTGATCTTATCTCTTGTATATACTAATAGTTTAATATATCGAGAGAAATCGAAATTTATATATAAGTTTATCAACTTTGTTTCCAAATCAAAGCCTTCCGTCTTACTGTATTCGGATTCCTAAAACCTTTGCTTATACTATTTCGTTCCTGATCCAATATCTCTATTGATTATATTATACTACTATCAATTAGCAAATACTATAATAAGAAATATCAATATATCATTATAATCATTTACTGCCTAACAAAAATACATCATTTCATTCTAATTGTAGGACTTTTTATAAAGAAGCTTGCCAATTGGTTTGTGTTACGTAAGCGGACACAATAGGAGTTGTAAGCTTTACCACTACGCCACACACGCAATCTGTCCAAAAGGCACAGTATCAGGGATTGTTTCCTGATAGCTTACTACTATATATATATCCATATAACAGTTTGTTGAGAAAATCTATTGTTTACATAGCTTATCCAATAACATTATATCTGATAGAGATTTGTAATTTATATCAGAATTTTGGAAATACTTATTTGAATATCTATTGATCATTTTGAAACAGTTCTTCTCATTTTATTCTAAATCCGATGGACAAATAGAGAGAATAAATACTATAGTAGAATAATACCTTTGAGCTTTTATGAATTTTTATCAAAATAATTAATATAATTAGCTTCCACTCACAGAGTTTATGCTCAATAATACAATCTCGGAGACTATTAATATATCCCTATTCTTTGCTAACTATAGTTTTTATTTATGCCTTGGTATTGAGTCCTCCTTATCTGTTTCTTTGAATTTGTTATATTAATATAGGCATAAATTCCTAAAGACTAATAAAATCATGAATCGATTTGATATTATTCTAACAAAATTGAAAGCCCTAGTTATTCAGTTTATTCAGAAATATAAAGATTATACTAATAAAACTCATACTGATGTTTTTTTGTATAAAAAGGGTAATAGAGTGTAGATTAATACTAAAAATATAAAGACCAATCAATTAATAAAGAAAGGTGATAACAAATAGAATGGCCCTTATAAAATCATCAAAATTTATAAACAAGCCTGTCTACTCCAGTTTCCCATTAGTTTTAAGATCTTTTTAATATTCCATAATTTATTACTCCAATCACTCTATTGCTTACCCGGATTAGCTGATCAAGAAACGATTAACAATACTGAATCCCACCAGAACCAAAAATACATTCTAAAAAGAGATAATAAAACAAACAAAGAAACCAAACGGTAAGAATTCGATAAATTACTTAACTATTATAATAAAAACGGATTTCATTATTAAATCAAATAAAAATATTACCCAGTATCCTGGTAACCTATTAAAGATCTTTACAGCCAGGAAGATACAATTATCGCTTTCTATTTAGTAAATCTAGATAAACCAGAACCACCTGCTTAAATGGATTTCAAAAGATCTATTATTCCTGATCCCCCGCTAATACTTACATCAAGCACACTCCCGAATCAAGGCCGAGGCAGATCTAAAAAGCTTTGTTAATTGATTATTATTCCTAAAAAAGTTCATTTTAATTTAATAATAGAAATTAGAGTATTTTAATATTATTTTGTATTCTAAAAGGTTAATTAGTATTACAATCGTGGACCAATCGTTTTAAACAGGGGGTACTATCACAACGCCAACTATATAATCTATAGTTGTCTTTGTACCTCAAGCATAGAATACTAGCACGCCCTATTTCCTATAAATAGGGCTTCACTCTTCCATAGCTCTTCTACCCTTATGGTATAATATAAGTCTTTACCTGTATCATGACACTTTCTTATTTTAATATTTTTATTTATTTATAGTGATTAACGTCTTGTAGAGGACCTCCCGAGGGGTATGAAAGACGTGGCTAGATCTAGAGTTACAAATACAGAAAGGCGCTGATGCGCACGCTAGTAAAACCTCACAGGGTAAACCCAGTTCCTTCTATATATCCTAAACAAGCCAGTGTAATGATCGCAAATAGGGCCGTTTTTGATTGGCCCCATATTCCTAGCGCTTCCTTCTGCTCATGGAGAGGAGCGCTCTGATTGTACAATTACTTCTGTCATAGAACCATGTTTTATGGACAGGAGCGGTGTGTACAGGTGTGCCGCTTCAAAGAAGCGGGTGTGTGTGTGATGGTGCTCCAGAGGAGCGGAGGATTCGGCTATTGGGCCGCTCGAGAGGAGCAGCCGGAACGATGGTTCCGCTGAGTAGCGGAATGGCGCATAGGCGCAGTGGTGGCGGCTGGAGGGGGGATCAGTTCCCCCTCAGCATTCGATCGATCGCTTTTGCGGCCCATAATAGAAAAGCTCTATTAGGGTTAGCGGTAGATTGTCGGAGCTCAGTGGAGCTGTGTCAGGAGGTCCACACTAAGGTGGCCTATGAGGCGGCATATAGGGTGGATCCATGTGGATCAGATCGCTATAGCCATAAGTCGTAGAACAGTAGGAGAGTGACCCGATCACTCTACCACTGAACCAGCCAGGCTCCTTGCGGAGGACAATGGTCTTTTTGTCTTCTTATTTTAATAGTATCTCTTTAAATATTTATTTATAAGAAATTTTCTATTTTTTCTGAATCTTTTAAATTAAATATATTATAAGTTTAAAATGAAATTTTATAGTTTATTTTTAATAATTATTATTAGAAAGTTATTAAAGATTTTATAAAAATTTCAAATTTGTATATGACTTCTATATAAATTTAAAAATCGATATTTTGAAATTTTAGATCTTAATATAGAAAAATCCTAAAAATCTAAAAATTTCAGAATAAGCTATTATATATATACAAATTTTTAATAAATTTTATTCATAAATGAGAAAGTTAAAAATTCCATTTTTGATATAAAAAGTGGCCCAAAAGTGGAGTGGTCAAAAAGTAGGGTACCCGACTTATTGTGCTCGAGACTTACGTTGTGGAAGTAAGGACACGCACTTGCCTATCTCGGATGTCACATGAGTACTACCAGTCATCAATATCAATATTTATTTATCAACAGCTCAATCTGGTAGAGGATTGCTCACATTTCTTCGCTTGTTGATTCTCACTTGCTCAAAATCTTCTTTTACCAAAACAACGAACGATAGGATGACTTCAGCCGCTGAAGAAGAGTATGTCCTTGACCGAAGTCCGCTGGGTTCTTCCCGGTTAGTCTGAATCTTGAAACTCCAACTTTGCTCTCACACGCTGACTGATCAAGTCTCTATCTCCAGCATTGGCTCTGGCAAAGACTAATCGGGCATCTTCTACATCCCAGCATCCCAATCAAGCAAGACATCAAGATTGCTGACATAGCATGTGGAACAGGGTAAGCACTCTTGTGTGTCGAAGATTCTATATGTACGAAGTTAATGTTGCTGGAGAATCTGGCTCATAGATTTAGCAAAAGAGCTTGCAAGATTAAAGACGAACGCACAACTAGACGGTTTCGATATCTCAACTAATCAATATCCCCATTCGGCACTACTCCCTCCAAATGTCAAACTGGATATTATGGATATCTTCAAACCTGTGCCGGAGAGATTGAGGGGCCAATATGATGTGGTCCACATAAGTCTTCTTTGTGTTGTGATCCCTGGAGGAGATCCAAGATATGTTCTAGACAATGTTTTGACATTGCTAAGTTCGTTACTTTCCTGAAGAGAGAAATACTGTGGAAAGTAAACTGACATTGTCGTATTTAGGACCAGGTGGATACATACAGTGGAAAGAGGTGGATTTCAGCATGATGGCATGCAAAGCTGCTACCCCGGAATTATCAACCAGCAACCTTAAGGAATTGACAAGATGGATGTATGAAGTTCCTTTGAAGAAATTCACCAGTTTTGAGTACTATTTCCATCCTCTTTCTCTCTTTTGAGCAGTATTCTACGGAACTGTATCCTAAAGTTTGAAAGGTGGATACGCCAACTCAGCACCATCTTCCAAGAACGAGGAGTAACAGTTCTGGATGATCGACTTCTCGAACCCGAGGTCGATATTGTCTGCGCATGGACTTCAATGCATATGAATGGCATAAAAGAATTGGTAAATATTGCAGGAGAAGGGTCGAGAGACGTATTGGAAAAGTATGGACAGGCGGCTCAGGAGGTACAGAAGGGTGCTTATATAAGTATGATGTTGGTCAATGTTGTTGGCAGAAAGGCTGGGGGCGATTGAGATGTTTCATTTGGAGAAGAAGCATCTGTCTCGTCCGATAATATTAGCACAGAGGTTTAGGGGTTTCTGATACTGAGTTAGAAATATAGCTTGCCGATTGCCGTTGCCTTTCTGTTCATTTTTGCCAAAAATCTCCGAATGTTTCGAGGGGACAGACACTTGACAATTCAATTTGGCAGCATTCAACTACTTGGCTCCTAACCCACTCTGTGCCGAGATATAAACAGCATATCATTACGAAACGCCGGACGAATAGTACACTATAACGATTGGAGACTGCTTGGATGCTTGGATGATGCTACCATACTTAAAGGATAGCAGCTGATGCGGAATTTTGAGCGGTTAAGTATACCAAAAATACATTAGCTTTTCCCTCTATAATACGATTTATATGCTGCACCCGATATATACAAACACCTGACAAATGTGCACTGCTCAAAATTGACACCCAATGCCACCCACTGTTGAACTCACAGAAGGGACACCTTTTCCTCGTCCCACCTCTTATCTAAATCCATCTCTTCAATATCATCCCCATTCCTCTCTATTGTCCTCTCTCCATCGCCAAATTTGGCCTTCAGAATTCTATCATAAGCCACCCAAACGAATCTAAATAAAGTACGCGTTGCGTTGGCTAGCCAATCCGGGAGCTTGCCATTCTTGTCTGCAAAGATCTTCCCCAGTCCAAACAGCGCCAAAATAACAGGCACTATAAAGGTCATGATAATGATCTGCGCTGTTTTCTGTCTGATTGTCGTGACTGTATATGACCTGATGCCATGCAAGTAATCGACATATTCCTCCGGTAAACTATGCTCCTCGGCTCCATCTGTTATCAACTTCAGGTATCGTGCAGATGGTTGCGCATAGTTTGGGTCTGGGCGAACAATGCGGTTCGCATCTTTGCTGTTGAACGGACAGAGTAAAGTGTATGCCTGGAATGGTATGCTACTAGGATTTGGGTCCACAGTCTTGCTACCTTTCGGAAGAACAAAACATTCCACGATTTCTTCTTTATATGATGAGCCACCTCCTTCGGTAGCTATTATAGTCCTATAGTCCTCGCGAGTCACTTCGTAGACTACACCAACCAATCCCTTATGCCATCTTGTCTTGTGGTAATCTTTTGTCCGAGGAGAATTTGATTGGTCTTTCTTGTATTGACAATTTGCGAAACAAGGTTCCGTGTAAGGTATCCCGCATAAATCGAATGTGAGATCGATTGCAGGAACATGAACATTGACCGCGCTCAAGGGTTTAACGCCGCGTTTCCCCTTGAAGGTCTCGGCAGAGAGATTTGAGCCATAGGCTAGATAGAGGACGGTCTTTGCTTCTTCTCGGTCGTCTAATACTGGCGAAAGCAGCGGCAGAGCACTCGATTCCAATCGCGAAGTCGAAGTTTGGGGCACTTTAACTGGTTCGGAAACGATTACTGGTGGTTTGGGAGTGTATAGGTCCCAGAATCTTTGCGGTGCCGCGCATGTTTTCTCGTCGGGCTGCATGATGAGTAAAGATGTATCAAGTTCAGGGTAAGAGATTGGTCCGCTAGTGATGAACGCAATTGAAGCATGAAATGACGAATTTATAGACTTGAAGAAATAGTACCTACTGAATCCTACCTCTATGCTTATCAAGCTTCTCCAGTTTAGATTAAATTGTTGATGTTTCCTCGACCGCTCTTCCGCCGTTAGTTGACCTGCTCGGACTTCGAAAGTGCCCGATTCCCGTTTTCTAGAGCCGCTTTAAGTATATCAAGATATCTTAAAAGCGGCTCCAACCAGCTTCTCGAATCTAGACCTACGATTCCTTGCAAGATGTCCCTGAGAGAACCTGAAAAGCGTTTCGCGGCCAATGATGCACATAGATTGTGCACTCGAAACAATTTTTGCTATTCACCGTCTATAGCCAGCCACGCAATGCTTAGCAGTCTGGGATATGTGCACCGTATTAGTGTAAGCATTGGAGATGATGGCTCTTTGAATAACGCGTAGTTTGTTGGATAGGCTTTTTTTTGGGTTTATGGAAAAAGGCAGAATCCACACTGTGGGAATTGTCTCAGGAAGTGATTTGGTAACAGAAACAGGAAAAGGAGCGCGGGCTAGCCCTGAAGATTATGAAATTTATATCATGAAAGAAGGGCTAATTGTATTTGGCCGATAGAGGCAATTGTTCCAGGTCTTCTAATGGTAATCAAATAATCTCTCCTCCTGCCTTTCGAATGAAACCAGCTACTGTCTCTGGCTGTACAAGATATGGACAATGACCTGTCTCTATTTCAAACACCATCTCAATATTCGCTTCCTTTACAATCTGCCGAACTTGCTTCAACGGAATGCTTTTGTCTTGCAGTGGCATGATATACGCTGAGGGTATGTATTTCCAAGCCTCATAAGTCAATGGAGACATCCCAACTCTAAATAGTACGTCAGTGAGAGTACCGCTCACATCTAGCCGTTTCACTCACCCTAGCGAAAGCGAAGTCAACTTGCTGCTCCAATATTTTGCATCTTCTGCAGAGAGATCATTATAAAATCTCGTATCGCCGTCAGTGCTAGTTGAAGTGCCATCCTAGCCGGGACGTTAGCATTATTTTTGACAACATATCAACACATACTTCAGCAAAGACATGAAAGCTCTGATCTGGATCAATCACAAAATCCGGATCCAAATCGGGACGCGAAACCACGCCTTGAAATGTCTCAAACATAGTCTTCCCTGCACTGGGTAATAGAATGCCAATATAAATGACTCTCACTATCCCGCCATTCTTTCCCTCAGCTTGGCGTTCCTTCTTACCCAAGTCACGGGAAGCTTCGCTGCCGCTAACACTTCCACCAGAGTGCATCACCACCATGACTTCCTTGCCCTCATCGGCTAATTCGATAATGATCTTGCGAATTGCAGCCACATCTTGTGAGAAGTCAGGGTGCCCGGGGTGAGCGCCTGCACTGGGTAGGTTGACCAGGACAGAGGGATAGCCTTCCTTTTCCAGAACTTTGGCGAGAGGTGTAAATCCTTCTGGGGTATGCCAGAAGCCTGGGATGAAAACTACTGTAGGTTTAGAATTGATCATGATTGCAAATATTTGGAATAGAATGATTGAAAACCTCAATTTGACTGCAAATCTGATATAATGAGTCTTTTGCTCTCTACTTGTGCAAGAGCTCAAAAGACCAACTGTTTGGATTACGAATCCTCTTTAGTTAATCCAACATATTGGGATGCATTGTGAATTCTATATTCCGGGCTAATTGGTGGATGAGTGTGAAAGCCAACAGAACCCTGCAGTCAGCTTACACAAAGCATCTTTCAGGGGGAGTTGAGATAGGTCAAGATATGGCATAGATGATGTAAGAGTTAATCACTCTGACATTATTTCAAGTCTATAAAAATTGAGGCGAGGTTCGATGAAATCCCAGCAATACGGTACGTTTTACTACTCCGTGAAAAAGTAAGATTTGGGACTGCCGTCTCCGCTTAAACTTGATAGCGTGCAGCAAATCTTCCGTACATCAGACCTACTGTCAGCGGCCTCCTTGCTGACAATACTGTCGCTGTTACGTCTTGGTCGTTGGCTATATACCTGGAAGGGCGGTTGTCAACGACACCCCAATGGGATTGGTTGAGTTGCGAGCCCTAAAGATTTGACTGGGTTCTGTACTCCCGTCAAACGCGCATTACAACGTTTCAATAGAATTAATATGTAGTGATGAAGGAAATAGAATGTAGTAGGATTTTCAAGAACGTATATCGCCATCGTTCATAATATAAGTCCTACCCCTAGTTTATTTCCAGAGAGTGCAAGTCAAAAAGTACTTCATCAACTGTAAAGAAGCATGCGCCGGCAAAACTCGGATGATCGTCTATCAACAAACAAAGATGATTTACTCGATGACTGTTGATAATGCTATCCGGAACGGTTATGGCGTGGTGCTTGATGGTTAGGATCCTGCAAGCTTTACAAGAATGATATTCAGCTTAACCCTTTCCCGATTAAGAAATGGAATGTTGGTTCCTAGTCCCTAATCGTCATCTAATACATTCACTTGAATGCGCTAAGGAAAACCATGAGAGCCCATTTCCCATATTTGACTTGCGGTTGACAAAAATGCGTAAATGTGTCGGATCGATTCGGAGGAACACTCCACGCATCAATGAGATAGTGTCTTCGGGCTGTGTTGGCTTCGAACTTGACCACTGCATTGGATCGTGAAGATGGCACATATTCGAACGTAGTCTCGTCCAGGCTACACCTATCCGCTCATACAATTACCATCTTTTGATCTCAGTATATATTTGGATATAACTTATCTGAGCTGTCACATACCACATATCGAGTCTACTACAAACATTCCGCGACTATTTTGCAAAATCGTCCACACAAAACCAGCCTTTCCAAATCTGACAATGCATGCGAGTAGGACTTTAAATGGCCTCGAACAACTATAAAAGTGGTAGTTATCGAAATGAAGGAAGGAACAGGTAAAATTTCAGGATATACCCCTCACGAGGATGACGGCTGAACTTCAAGACATATTTTTTCATTTCTTCATGCATTGAAACCACTGTCGAGTGCAAAGCTAATTGTACGCCCGCAATTGTTCGAGCACTTGCCGTCCACGTTCACTCGATTCACGACCGAGCTGCCCTGATATCGAGTGGCTTTACACGCCGGTGGCATGATCATTTTGCCATGTAGTATGAAGACACATGCGGTCATTAACGCAGGATATGGTGATGCCGTCATTTCCAGAGCAGTGTGGTGACGCTAAAAAGAACAACTTAGAAAGAACCTCGTCATGAGAGTCTTCCTTGAGTTAAATTCACTCAAGGGATAAGATTTGTCCAGGGTCAGAGCAATCGTTTGTCTGGTAATAACAGCATTTTATACACAATCTGGTTCAAAAGACAACCTGATAGACCAGATTGTAAAACAGATTTTAGATTCATTGGAAATCGATCAAGGGCATTTCCGAGGCTTGGAATAGTTTCCAAAGGAAATGAAAACCGCATTTAATGAAGGTAGTTCGAATGTCCCTGCCTGGCTTTGAAGTTGTGGTACATTTTATAATTAGATGACGGGCTATCAGTTGGGAGAATTTCATGTAAGCAGATTGAGCAGGAGCCAAAGAGCCAGAAAAAAGAGTTGCTGTACACTGGAGACATTAAATGAATGAATTATCAACATTGTATACCTAGTACCTATTGAACGTGAGCCTCGATTGATTGCAAAAATTCCGAAATATATCAAGACCAATGGTGCAAGTCCGATGGTGATTTGTCAGCATCTTTCCCGAGGTGGGGTCATACCTTAAGCTTTGTAGACTTGTTCCTCGAGGCCATAATAATCCATACTATCAGCAATATAATACACCTTTGTAATCATGGCTCTCGTATCTGGGCCGGGTCGAGCAGGCTCTGCCATTCTGCCAGAGGAGCTTCAGCTCGCTATCGAGTCCCATGTAAAATATATACAGAGTCTTGACTCCGTAGGTGTTCACCCTCCCCGTATCTCCACCCGCACTTGTTGACATCTCCTGCTTGTAGCGCAAAGATGAGCTCGAATATTGGCACACCGAACATTTGCGAGTAAATGGACTCTACTGGGGGCTCACTGCACTTCATTTACTTGGTCGACCTAATGCGCTGCCGAGGCGGGAAACAATTGATTTCATTTTAAGCTGCCAGCACGAAAATGGTGGGTTTGGAGCTGCCCCAGGCCATGATGCACATTTACTATATACAGTTAGTGCCGTGCAGTCATTAGTGATGGTAGATGCGGTAGAAGATCTCGAGCGAAACTTGGATGGTAAGGGAAAATATTTAGTTGGCAAATGTGAGTGTCTCCATGTATGCGATTCGAGGGGCTACCATTAATGCTTCCGATGTGCAGATCTTGCGGACCTACAGAATAAGGATACGGGAACCTTCGCGGGGGATGAGTGGGGCGAGGAAGACACCAGATTCCTCTATGCAGCGTTCAATGCACTTTCACTACTAAATTCCCTACATTTAGTGGATGTTAACAAGGCAGTGGACTACATTATTTCGTGTGCGAACTTTGATGGAGGTTATGGGGTTAGCCGCGGAGCTGAATCTCATTCGGGACAAATATTTGCATGTTTGGGTGCATTATCAATTGCGAAGCGCCTCGACGTGGTTAACATTGATAAGCTGGGTAGATGGCTGAGCGAGAGGCAACTCGAGTGCGGCGGACTGAATGGCAGACCCGAGAAAAAAGAAGATGTTTGTTACAGCTGGTGGGTTGCAACGAGTCTAGCTATGATTGGGAGGCTACACTGGATTGATGGAGAGAAACTTACCACCTTCATCCTGAAGTGTCAGGACACAGAGGAAGGTGGCTTTGCCGATAGACCAGGTGATATGGTCGATGTCTTCCATACCTGCTTCGGCGTTGCCGGCTTATCTCTTCTAGGGTTCCCTGGTGTCGAAGAGGTCGATCCCATGTAGTGAGTTTTCAGATCTTTGGCATTTTTACCTTCACCGGCTAACCTCTTTTAGCTGTATGCCAAAGAGAATAACTGAGCGAGTGCTAGGGCAACCCTAAGATATCTCTGCATTAATGACATTATGAATTATGAATTGGGTGAGAGTATTCCCATTGATCTGTCCATCGGACCTTTGTACATTTGGGTGTTTTCGGTAAGTGGAGAACAGCTTCTCGTAGGTTCGACTTTTCACATAAATTCATCGATACTCAACGTCCGATCTGACCACAGAAGTAAGTCAAGCAACATAATTTTCATTAGTGATTCCTTATTGTAGCGAAGTATCTACTTCATTCAACTCCTGCCATCTAATAACCTTATATCGAGTAAAAAGTGGTACCAGGATACAAGGCAGGAGAACAGCAATTCATTGACTATGAGGTGTTTATGGCTTGACCGTATCACAAACACTCAAATGCCAATGGTACATATTGAAGAAATATGATGTGAGCCTCGATGAAAATTTCATACTGTTCATACTGTTCATACTGTTCATACTGTTCATACTGTTCATACTGTTCATACTGTTCATACTGTTCATACTGTTCATACTGTTCATACTTTTCATCAATGATTGATTGTCTGTAGAGTTGTGGTCCAGCTAGAATCAAAGGTAAAAATGAAGTGATGAGAAAGAATGAGAGAATAAAATTGGCCGATGACATGAGAATTCATGAAAGTGCCACTGTAATTCAAGCAAGATGCGCTCTCATGTATGGTTATTCTCACCACAGATGAAAAGTGGTGAAAGGCTCCCCTATTATGTATATTTCCAGCCAGTTGGCCAAAAATGAGCATTATCACAAGAACTTTCTCGAGTAGTTAGTTCACTTCTGGTTTCTGTCTCTAAATGTCAGCGACTCAACAATCAATACTTGAAATATGGTTCCTGTCTGCTATCATCCCTCTCGTCCTCATTGTTGTGAGTGTTGTGGGTGTTTCGAGGTATTTTGACCGGGGAAGACATAACAAAGAGACATGTCGTTGTCCTCAACCTGAAGTTGTTGAAGTTGTTCAGCATCTCAACTCTAATCATGAATCTCATCCAGAACGACTCTAACCATTCCACAACAATGACATAAGTATAAATTCCAATAAATTGTCCTATGTTTCCTATTGCTTCCTCATTTATTATATCCTTGATTCTACTTCACATCTTCGAAGCAGTAGGGACAGTGGTATACAATCCTTCCATAGTAGAACTCGAGAGTTTTCACCATCTAAAAACAATCATATTTTCGGCCTTGACCTTTATTTTAACATTACCATCATTTCCTTCATTCCCTTTATAATCAATCATATAAATTACCAAAGGCCAATACTCATAAATATACCTTGATAATCTTTTCTCCCGCTCACTCCCATCTCCATTACGAAACTCACATTGACCCGATATGGCAAGAACCTTTTGAACGTGATTGTCTCTTCCGGAACTCTCAATACTCCACTAAACCACCAACGCACCTTCTGCATTTTCTCTTTACCATAAATCTATAATTCTCGATCGTTGTCACCTCTTCTTCCTTCCGTCATTCCTCACTCTTCATCGTATGCAAGTCCTTTCTTTCTCAATTATCATATTTTGAGGAAACCATCTTCTTCACACAATTTGGAGAAGTAATCGACGACTTGCTACCTTTGCTCATTCCCATCGACAATTAGGAGCTGGAGCATTTATTAAGAACAATCTGTAAGTTTGGATCCCGCTCAACCTTTTTACACAATGCAATACCTGGAGCTACGTCAATTGCGTCTTCAAGTCGAAATATACTATTAATGGCATAGAATGAAAGGATTGTCGCTCCTCTTGTATAAAATTGGGCTGACTTCTGCGGGTTCCTCAATTGAAACCGCAGAGGAAGGCATCTGCAGAAATTCTCTTGTTCTTTTTGGCAACCTGACATTATCCGTGTACCTTCAACTTCTGTGCAATCACACAATTACTAACAAATTTGGATGAATAGCTGCAACCAAAATGTCGAAAAACCACACCAATATACCACTGCACTGCAGCATTTGCCCAAAGAATCCTCAATTCTCCGATGTATCTCATCTTCTCACCCATACATCTTCCAAAGCTCATTTATCCAATTATTTTAAGCTTAAAATTCGAGCTGCGTCGGAATTGACAGCAAAGATTCAACTGGACAACTTCGAAGATTGGTATGACAACTATGATCTCGAACGATTACTATCCGAGAGACTTGCTTCAAAGGATCAGAAGAAAGCTGCCAAGGATAAGAAGACCAGGAACAGCAAAGCATTGGTAGTTCTCTTTCTGCGAATGGAAGCTGCTCAATTGTACTAACAGGAAACAAAATAGCCCGGGCAAACGAGGATCAAGAAAGAAAAAGACAATCTCCTTGATAATGAAGCCAATCTAGCACCCATGTTTCGAGCTCCTGTTCCAAGAATGCATCTTTGGCCAACTGCAACAAACAACAGTATCAATAATAATACATCTACATCCAATTCTAACTCTGATATGGGAAGTGAGTGGGATCATAGTGCTGTGTATGCAACACCAACCTCTCGACGTCAGATTCCAGGCTATACACTTCAAAAAACACCCTCGGCAGTAGGGACTGTATCGGATACCACCAAGTAAGCCAAATGTCTGTCTTATCTTATAAAATTGTCTTGCTAATTCAGGTTCGTACAGTCTCACTACGCCATTAAAGGAGGAGGCAGATGCTGAAATCACCGAGAAGCTTTCCGACAGTGCAAAATTGAAGGGTGTGTTCTGGCCTGGCATGGATCTCTTCGATTCTGCCACTGCCGAAATGAAGCGAATGCGAAATCAGAGAAAAGATGGCTCAATTCTTGAATTGATGATGGCTGCTTCTGCGGAGGTTCAACCCACTGAAGTGTCCTACCACCCAGATGGCGCATTCCGAACCTCCAGACACATTTTCGGTCCTCTTTCGACTGAGACTAGTCCTGTACGTTATTTATAATCATGGCTAATTTGATTTTGTTGCAATATCACATACTAACATCAAATCGCTTAGATTCGCGACCCCACTCCAAAAAAACGAAGAACTCGCAAAGCGGCCTTGGCAGATGTCAGCGTCAATGTACCCCGTCTCAGAGCCGGTCGACCACCAAGAAACTCGGCCAGAAGTCCTGGGAAGCGACAAATATCCGCTAGATCACGTCAGCCTGCTGGTCAACTTGCCTTGCAATCGACACCCACACTCAATCCATTGGCATTCGGCGCTCGATTCACTCCAAGCAATGAGGAAGATGAAGAGTTTAGAATAACAATGGAAGAGATGGGGGCCAAGGAGCGTTCTTTTAATGTTTTTCAGGATGCCCCTGAAATTAGCCCAGGTCGTACAGAAAGCCCATTAGAAGATCATAGATTCGACTTTTCGGACGGTGCATCAACCAGCTTCACGAACGTAGATATCGGTAACCAGATTTCCCCCACACCAGTGGTTAAACCAACTGCAATGCGTATGTTCTCCAAAGACAACGGTCAATCTGATATTCATGTCCGACGAACTGTTTCGACTCCCCACCACGGCTTCCCAGCTCAAATGTTCTTTGATAATTCATCAATGTACAACCCACTCTACAACCACCACCCTCGATCTTTCTCATACGGAGGTGATCACTCGGATTTTTCCCAAATGAGCCAGGAAAACAAGCCAATGAATGCTTACGGTCAAGGTTTTCATGGCAACTTGAGCTCGGTCAACCATGGTTCACATTTACCTAGCAACCATTTACAACTTTCAGACCCACTCACCAATGGTGCAAATGTCAATATGCCACATTTTGGCATGTGATCTCGGGATCTGCTACTTTTTACGACGTTTCAAACGCCATAATCTGATATATTACCGCATGAAGGCGTTTTGACTTTCGAATAAGATTTGTTATAGCAGGCCATTGTTGTGGTCGAATTTTTATCAAAGGAGGCATATTATATACGGAAGTCGTTCTTTCTGTTCTTTTTCTTAACATTCTACAATTATTTTAAGTGGAAATGAGGCGTTAAAGAGCTGGTAATGGTGCGCGGGTATGCTGGTTCTGCATTGCTATCTAATTTTTTGACTTGGTATCATATATCTATTTTACAACTGCTCCATACCGATGATAAGCTGGTCTAGCTGATCGGTACCATTCTTTAGTACTTCCGAAATCATATTAGACAGTCCCAATAACTTTTTCTGTTTCACTTGTGTCTCCAGCTCTCGTGATTTAGATGCGGCAGTGTCAAGTACAGATTTCGGGACACGCGCTAACCGAGCCACATTCAAACCATAAGATCTATGTGCAACCCCTTCACCGACTTCGTATAGAAACGTAATCTCCTCTTCAACATCATCGTTATCCTTACCCGTATCAGCATCAGCATTAGAAACTCGCCTTCCATTTCTCTCAGCGGTGAATTTCATATGCACATTCCTCAGCTCTTTTCCCTTTTCAAATCCTCTTGCAACACTTGCCAAAGTCTGATAATGCGTAATAAATAAGCACAAACATTTGGTCTCCCTAACAACCCAATCTAAAACCGCTTCTGCGATTGCGACTCCATCATGCGTACTAGTTCCTCGTCCCAATTCATCTAAAATAACGAGAGATCTAGGACCTGCTGATTTCAATATCGATGCTGTTTCAGAAAGCTCAACCATGAATGTAGATTGTGCAGTGAATAATGAGTCATATGCTCCCATTCGTGTGTAGACACCATCTAGAAGACCCAGTCTGGCGGATTCAGCAGGCACGTAAGAGCCGATTTGCGCGAGGATAGATATTAGTGCTACCTGACGCACGTAAGAAGACTTACCACCCATATTTGCGCCGGTTATTAAAAGGGCGCGTGTATGGTCGGGAGAGGTGGAGAGAGATGTGTCGTTGGGGATGTAGGTTGAGGGGAGGAGTTGTTCGACCATGGGGTGGCGGCCGCCGATGACGGAGATTTCAGTTGAGGATGTAAAGGTAGGTTTGCAGTATCCTGGGAGGGAAGCCACGCTTGCGAGGGAGAGAAGACAGTCGAGGGTTGCGAGTTGAGAGATGGTATCGCGGATTAGGGCGTAGTGGGTGGATATTTCGGTGAGGAAAGTGGAAAATGCGGCGTCACAGGCGGAAGAAAGAGATTCTTTGTGTTGGTCACGTTCACGAAGGAATTTGATGACCTCGGGGGTGTGAAAACGAGACATCTTTTTTGTGCCTGAGATCTTGGCCCAGGAAGCGGGTACGTTTTTGAGATCAGTGTTGGGGACTTCGATAAGGTATTCAATACCAGCGATGGTGACATATGTGACAGGTGTCTTCTTGGATAGCTTGGTAGCAGCAACCATACGGTGCGCCTCAAGATCTTGTTCAACGGCTCCGATGCCGCATTTATGATCACCAATTGCTTCGGTTTCATAGTGTTCTAAGAAAAATGCATATTTGTCATCACTGCGGGCGGCTTGGGCGTTGATCCTGTCGAGGAAGGATATTACTATTTCGCCAATTGCAGGAAGAGATGCAACCGCTTCATTAATGATGCTCGAGTCGAAGCCTGCATCCGAGGGTGTTTTGACATGAGCAAATTCGTTAGCAATTCTCTGCATTGTCTGGAGAACTGTGAGGAGCTCCGGTCGTGTACATTTGCCATAATATATGCGAAGTAAACTCCGCTCTAAATCTGATCTAACTTCTCGAAGGGTGGCATTTAGTTTGTCTACTTTTGGGGTATTTGCGTTATCTTTCAGTTCTTCCACTGCAGCGACTCTCTCTTCCAAGCGCTGCTTATCAAGAAGAGGTCGACCAACCCATTTTCGAAGTAACCTTTGACCAAATTTTGTTTGAGTTTTATCCAGAGTCCAAAAAAGACTTCCTTTCTCAGTATAGTCTGTTTGATTGGTATAAATCTCGAGACTTGTGAGGGTGTTTCCATTTAATAACATATGAGATCGAGCACTGAATGATTGAAAGTACTTGGTGAGATCAAACACATGTTCCAATCCGTATTCGGTCATATGAGTAATCATAGCAGATAGACAAATTGTGACCGGCTCAGTAAGTTTCAAAACTTTCTCTAAAAGCTCCTGCTCTCGAGCATTGTTGCTGCTCTGATGGGCCTTCAATTTATCCGCATAAAACTGTGCCACGTGAGAATAGGATTCGGCAGCCATAGTCTTTGACTTTGCAACGCGCTCAACTCTTATTCTATCACCAAAGACATTGGTACTGCTACCCGAAAGATGTTTTACAAGCTTGTCGGTAGCCTTTGTAAGTTCCCCAACTATGAGCAATTCGCAAGGGGCAATATGTAATAATCTTGTCTCGATTTCGCCCCGCATGAAACCATCCTCGAAGTTATCATATATGACATCTCCGGTGGCAGGTTGAACAGCCAATACACCAACTTCGACCTTTTCGTCTGTTCCCCAACCTTTAGCTTTCGTCTCCGTTATACAGAGAAGGTAACCAGTTGCGGGAGTACCACCAGACGGTGCATCGGTCGAGTCTAATCCGTCAATATCATCAATGTATGTGCCTTTAGTATAAACATTCGTGAGCTTCCTGACGAAAGGAGCATTCCGGTTATCCCCAGCCTTCTTCAATGCAGCTGTCTCTGTTTGTCGAACAATACCAATTTTGTGACCAGCAGCGACGAGCCTCTTTGCGTGGACCGGGAGTCGATGAACTGGAATACTTGCAGATGCAAAGTAATTAAGATGCGATTCCGAAGGATCTAGTTTGCGTCAGAAACATCATTAAGTAGATTCAAGAACGAATAGCTTACGCTCATCAAATCGAAATTTGCCCGGTATGCACACAATACTGAGCACTTTCGCTGCTGTTCTTGCATCTTCGCCAAAGAACTTAAATTTGTAGCCAACTTCCACAATTAACAGAGTATCCATATGTTTGCGCTTAATGTCGATAACTTGTAACTCCATAGGAGTCAATTTACCCGTCTTTGCACCCTTCTTCTTATTTTTCACAGGCGCAGGCGCTTCCTCTTCGTCTTCCCTCTCTTCGTCTCCCACTTCTAAAGCTGTATCATCTTCATGTATAATCCGCCTGAGACTATCTGGATGTCCCAATTTCTTGACAAACTTCTTGTGCAATTCGACTTTCCGCGCTTTCACTGATTCGTCTTCAGGTTCCTCCTCAATTGAAGGTCCTGTAGCTCCTTGACTTGACCCTGAAAACATGTATTTATTGGTTCGCAGTGATGGCTTTGACTTGCCTCGTGTTAAGCTAGAGGATGTCTTTCGAGAATCGGCGGCTGGCAGAGCATAACTTTCGTCATCTTCCTCCTCAACTTCAACACTTTTTGCTCGTTTGGATGGTCCTTCCTTTGCTCTAGTATTCCCACCGGTTTCATCTTCTTCTAGAACTCTCTTCAAACGATTTCCAGTGGTTTTTGCTGCTTCATCGGTTCTCTCGTTGCTATCAGCGTCACAAAAATTTCCTGGGGCTTTAGTAGCAGGTGGCGAGCTTGAATCCTGAGGTTTCTGACTAGATTTTGGAGTAAAGAAACTAGATATTGATTTCTGAGTCTTAGCTGGAGTTGAATTTGGTTTGACCATCATGGCAGGGTCCCAAGAGATTTCGTTGCAATGTAGGGAATTAATTTGAAGTGGTAATTGACATCAAGGAGACGCGACGACGCGACAGGCGTAAAGTGGATTACATAATCAGTCCAGCATTATCACCTTGCACCCCCACCAAAACCTCTTCTATAAAAAGTCATCATCATAATTGAGCGTGAATGGCACAAAAGCATCTATTGACAAATTGATACATTCTTTATAGAACACCTCCAAAAACTCCTACGTCAATACACCAATGGTTTCCATACAACATTTCCCCGTCAGCAAACTCCGGCATCAGAACCTGGTTTTGGCAGCTCTAATCGCTGTAACAGTTCAATCTAGGTTCACATCTAGGTACACATCCGAATGGAAACATCTGGATTTGCAGCTGAGGGTGGCTCGGATGGTTGGCGAATAATCAATTTATCAATGTCTGCGGGTCATTTTTAAGTTTAAATTATTGAATGAGATGTGACCGGGCACCACAGGATGCTAATAAATCATCTATCGCTCAAATTGATGGAAAGCTCCAAATCGCTTGTTTTAAACATTGTTCCAGGCCAAGTGTGGAGAGGCACGACAGGGACCTTTTTCATTCAAGTGTGAAAGTAGAGATAGGAATCTAGGTCTAGTGGCCTTGCGGTACTCTTTGTATCAGATTACCCGCTCGATTTCGAATCCAAACAGCAGAGCGAGTGTTTTAGAGCCTTGCGAGAAAATCACCATGTTGGGATTTTGATGAAGAGTTTCCGCATCATGTAAATTCTTTATTGTTAAACCAAACCATACAGTATATAATAATATGAGGGTATAAGAATGATTGTATAGGACCATTTGGAACAATCCTAGGGCCTTACAAGAGAGAGGGGGGGAGCATAAAAAGCTTTCCTCTTTAATCCGTACACCTATCCATATTTATAAGGCTTTTAAAATAATGTATGTAGTTTGCATCCCCACTTATTTGTAAGTCTATATCTGTCCCGACATCTATAGAACTCCATTCACCCAAACAAGAATGCCATTAGATCACAAAGTGTATAAGAAGTCTGGTCTCTTGTCTCCCAAAGCCTTCTTCTCAGTCTCATTGAGGCCCTCGACCCAGGCATCTCTTTCGCCCCGTATTCTCTTGCGATTTTCTCTTTCCAATAGGAATCGTAGTAAGGTACTTCCGCCTAGCAAGAAAAGAGATAAGAAAGAAATAAAAACAGTGTGGCCGGTAATATATCTGGGCTTTTGGAAATAGATGTTTGAGCTGATGATGCCACAAATATTACCCCATCCAATCATCATTCCTAGAACAACACCTCGCTTGTAAGAGCCTTCAATATTGTTGGAAATCCAAGAGATAGTGTTGGCTACGCAAGGATAGATACCGAGAGCGCCGAGGAAAGTTCCCGCATATTTGACGCCTGGTTGCTCGCTAGCTAGTAGCATAGAGAAACCGACAATGGCAAGGGAAGACACGGTGATATTACACAAGCCTCGTTGACCTGTACGATCGGCGATGAATCCAATCACGACTGTCAAGATGGCTGCTGCTACATAAGGTGGGACGGAGAGGAGTTGAGCTTTGGTTGTTGTGTAGCCAAGCTGGGTAATTATTGTAGGAAGGAATAGCGAGAAAGCGTACAAACTCACGCAACAACCAGAGTAGATTGTCATCGCGAGCCACGTCTTGTAATCTTTGAATGCCTGCCAGATAATCTCTGTGCTGAAATCTTCATGGCCTGCTGCCTGACCGTTGGCTTGCAAACGGCGGATGACCCTGTTTCGATCGGCTTCACAAAGGAATCTAGCTTTCTCCGGAAAGTCATAAACCAACCAGAATGAAGCGATTCCAGCCAGGACAGTGACGATTCCTTCCAAGATAAAAATCCAAGCCCATCCGTGAAGTCCACCAAGGACCATCCATTTTAACGATTGCCGCAGCAAGCAATCCACCAAAACTACCAGATACAGCAGCTGCGGAAAAATATTGCAATTCGAACACCAAACTCGGAATCTCTTGTACCAGCAAGATAGGGTAGTAACTAATACCGGGAAACAAACCCGCCTCGGCAAGACCAAGAAAAAATCGTGCAGCCATCAACCCTGACCAGTTCGTGACGAATCCCATGAATGTCATACACAAGCCCCAGGCAATTCTGTAACAATATCAGTGTCCAAACTTTGTCATTGTGGGATTTTGGTGCACAGTATGAGCAACACCAAACTACTTACATGATGATTGGTACGAATATCGACGGGCGAAATCTTTTGAGCATCACGTTCGTAACAGGCTCAAATAATGCATACGCGACAAAGAATATGGAAAGTGCGGCGTTGTAATCACCAGTCGACATGTTATTCAAGTCTTTTTGCAAGCCGTCAATCTTTGCGTTTCCAATATTTGAACGGTCGAGGAAGGCGAGTAGGTAGAGAACACAGAGCTGTCGATGTTAGACGGCAGATATGCTGGAGATTTGAAGATCACTTGCCCATGGTATCAAAGTCCAATCGAGCTTTCGTACCAGCTTACGATCCTGCACAGCAAATCAGTACATTATTGGAATTCCATTGAGATGTCCATAATCTCACAATAGCAGCCTTTTCTTCGTCGCTCAAATGTGCATCTGGATCGGGGGGTAGTAGATCGGGAGACGGAGCATTTTCATGAAGACCCACGACCTCCTTCTCATCGTCGCCGTTCCCAAAGGCTCTGGGCAGGTTATTTGAAGCCATTATTCACAAGATGGAGCAGCTTTTGCGTATTGTGTTGATTGGAATACAAAACAGCAGTAAAGCGGTGGATTGAAGTATATAATATCATACTCAGGTTCCAGAGCTAAAGGCAAGTTGGTAAACATTGGATTTGAGTTTTAACTGGAATGAGCTATGATACTTGAGATAGACTATCTAAGATCTTCAAAACCTGCCGGTCCCCATACCCACAGAAACCCGTACGATGGAGCCAATGAAAGGGTAGACCAAGGCATTATGAGCTAAGCTATGACGAAAAGCGACAATTATCCATCAATAAAGTTTGACAAGATGCGACTACTCCTACGATTCATACTTCTTGTGGACGGAAAAAGCGGTTCACTAAATGAGTCGAATAATGAGAACACTTACATTGCACCTTCATAATATCATTCTTTAATGAAGATACAAATGATTCAAAATACACATTGTATGAGAATTTGAAATTTTCAGTCAGTTTGTGTATCTGAATAACGATTTTTTGAATTGATATCGAATATTGAAATGGGTGTGTACTTTTGGTGGACCCGAAGTTTATCCTACAGGAGTCATTTGTTGGCAAAGAACGTTACTGATATCAGTCGATGTCATTGATACTCATAACCATAACTATAGTCTGGCTTTAAACCACCTTGAAAAGTCCCTTATCACTCAATATTGACAATTCCTTATCCAAAGTATCGAATATCCTTTCCTATTGCAATCTCAAACTACGAGAAAAAACTGGTGGCTGGTCACTAAGACTCACTACCATACTTCAAATCGATGATCTTCAAAGTTTGGTATTTTTAAGGCCAGATTAGCTTTGAATCCAAGGCCAACAAGACCTCCGCTGTCTGTCGTGCATTGGCGTATCATAATCTTGTGCCGATGTCAGTTCTATCTCTCATCCTCAAACTGCCATGATTTCTTTCCAAACCTCTAATTTTCAAAGAAAGTACGCATTTCTGACTCCGCAAAAGCATTTGAGACATCGACACATTGGGCAGAAGTTGTCTTACAAGGAATCGAGACTGATCTGATCAATGAAGATCGTCCGTCATTATGTAATCCATCATGGAATTGTATGTCATTGGGAAACAATTTAGAGGAACTACATCGTAATAGTCCTACGATTGAGCTCCGCATCGAGAGGGGAAAATATGGGGATTAAGGGCAAGTCTAGATGATGGGGCCAGTGGTTTGCGGGGTTGGCCCGAAACGCTCCGTTAGCATGGAGTGCTAGAAGTAACACTGAAAGAGTTCCGGGCTTGGTTTATGATACTTCGACAATTTGCTTGAGTTGAAAATCAAACAAAGTGATTTAAGCTTAAATACTTTGATAAACAGTAATTAGTGTGCTGTTGATTAATTTATATGATTACTCTGATCTACAATTATATCAACCACTTCAGCCGTGTGAACATTGAGATCCCGTGGTTTTTATGATTAATCAATCAATTCTTCTACTGTCTAGTAAATATCTTCTTTTATATGCCTATTTCTCTCTTTTTTATATAATGATAATAATAATAATGACGATGATGTTGATGGGGTTACATGTAGATGAAATGGAGTCCAGAATTACCAACTGATAGAATGAATGGGTAATTTCCGTACTGATGTCCCACTTGATTATCCGAGTCTATAATCTAGGCAACTTTCCTGGAATCTAAGGGGAATAATGGAAATGATACACTTGGAGAATGTTTTACGGGTCATTTTTCCCTTTCTGTAAGAGTTTGATCAGACGAAGATGATTAAGTGTTTGTTGGCAACATTGTCTATAGGCCAACAAATTGTGAATCTTATGTGCCACCTACTCCTGGAGAACAAGTAACACAAAATTTTGAAAGCTGTTTTCACAAGACACGATTCTCTGGTCATCGTATGAGTACCTTATGGGGCCAAAGAAGATTTGTTGTATATGGAGATGGACTAGTTTTGGGTCAGACTCATCGTGATGTGCGTGTATATATATAGTGAATCAAGCTTCCCACCATTCATCATATAGTCCACGAAGAATAAAGAAATTCTTACATGCTTTGAAAATGCCATCATCTACGACGATTGGTACCATTCTTGTGGTTGTGGTTGTGGGTACCGTCTGTGGTCTCGCGGGCCTCTATTACTGGGGAACCGGGGAAAGGGAAGGTCCGGTCCTAGCAAGCACACTTCACGCCATTCTAGTAGAGCTCCACCTTTAGTTCCTCCGCCTAAAATTCCCCCATATCGCAATGGAACACTTGGGACCCGAGCTGGCCATATTTCGCCTGGAGTGCCTTCACCTGCTGTACGCAAGAATAGTGGAAGACAAGCTACCCTGCCAGGAGATCGACAGCTCCCACAGTTATCTCAACATGATCGTTCTCGCCAGCCGCCTCAGACTGGTCTTAACGCTCCTGAGCCTATCCATCCACAGCCTGTCAAACCACATCCTGTAAAACCGCAGCCCGTCAAACCACACCAGCCTCTCCAGTCGCATCCGGTTCAGCCTCAACCTCCCCTTAGAATCATCATTCCACCTCCTGTTGCAGGAGGACTTTACGGCTTTGAAAGGTGTATTCCCACAACCGAAGCGAGGAGGGAGAAGCCCTTGAATAGTGGAATAATTCCAACTGAATCTTCAATACGTACAGCTTCTTGACTGTGTCTGATCACAGCGTCCGATAGTCCGGACTGTAGTTTGAAGATTAGAGACTTTAAATTGTTCTTTTCCTTTTAAATATTAAAGGTATTTCGGATATCAGAATGGATTCAATCATCAACTGTTTTATAATGAATTTTTGAAATTAATAATAATGTGTCCAGAATCTTAAAGCTAGAACCCTACAATGGACCGCAGGCTGAGCCATTCGAAATACTATGTTTTATTTTGAGGAATCTGAAAATATCAGTTGTGTACATATGGAAAATAATGAAATTCTTGACTGGGCAGATTCATAATAATCTGAGGACGCCTTTTATATCTCAGGGAGAATTGATTGTGTCAAATTTTGAGAATAGGGTGGTGTAGGGAGAATTGATCTGCTAGAAGTCCGTCTTGCCTCTGTAGCCAGCAACTATCCGAAGAGAGAGAAGAAGTGTAACAACTTTTCACAGAGTACTTTTACAATACGTATTCGTATAGTTCATAGGACAAGAGAAGGATAACATCATCACAACTATGCTTCGAGCGTGTATTAATGTTCACTGGAAGAAATATCGCTCAGTCAAAATGATGATTAGAGAAAGCAGCCATGTGGAAAGATGGAACTCGCAATGTTTACTGAACTGCAGGTGTATTCAATGTCTTTATTATGTCAGAAGGAACAATGACTGAATTTTGTTACCCCCTCCATTAGAGTTCAAAGCAAGTGTGCATCTTACCACTCACATTCCTTCTTCGAAAATTGAGATACTATGACCGGTGGGAAGAAATTCGATTCACCCGCGCTTTCTTCTCTCAAGAGTGAAAAAGGGGAAGGGGAAAGGGGGATGGAAATATTAGTATGGCAGAATCTTTCGATGGCGGGTACAATAAGCTTCGCAACCGAAAGTAGTATAATTTCAACCATTCTTCACCCTTGAGCACCTTATCAAAATGTTCAAATAATCCACGGTACTCCTTAATCTGTCGATTTTTCATATCAGAAACTTCCACATTCCACAAGCACATGTTCGCCGCAATTTGGTATGTTTTAGAGCTCGGATTGTTAAGTAATATATCCGATTTTTCGCCGGTCAGGTTTTCCGTGAAGCTTATCAAGACGTATGAGTACCTAGACATGCTTTCAACTTCGGTCTCTGGGAGGAAGAAACGCTGAGATCGGAATGCATGATCATTTCATAATTGTCGTTCTACTTCAGCCTAATCTTTTTGACATGCATGAAGCACATTTGAGATGAAGGGGCTCAGACGAACCTTAATGAACCTCAAAGTTTATTAGTCCTGAAACACGCCACGATGTGTACACTTTCATGTCAAATTATCTTGTACAAAGAACAGATTAGGGTTGGGCGATTTGATGATATATAATATTGTATATTTGTTATTTCAATATAATATATAATATTATTTATTTATTTATTTATTTTATTTATATTAATTAACATCTATTTTGGACCTCCCGAAGGGTATTTAGATATGCCAGGATAAAGAGTTACAAATACAAAAAAGCGCTGATATGTATACTAATAAAACCTTAGAGAGAAAACCCAGTTCCTTTTATATCGCCTAAATCTGATAGTTTAATATTAATGAAAAAAGCTATTTGTTTCTTTACAATTATAATCGTTGAGCTTGGAGCAATCGCTTCAGAGATTGATCTGAAGAAAAGAATGGTAGATTCAATGAGTGAATTTGGTTTTGTGCTTCCCTTTATAGTTAATAATCAGAGGAGTGTAATTGAATATTATTTGAATAGCTAGGTATTAATATTTGCATATACTTTAATGGGGCGAGTAGAGCTAGCCTTTTAGAATCTAAAAGCTTTCTTCTATCAGGCAAGCTGATTCTCTTTTCCGTTATGCAATATCCTTTCTCCTCTCCTTTCTTTTCTTTTTCCTTTTATTGTAATGGTATTATTATTGTAAGAAATATAAAGCTTAGTTATTCTGATTGTCGTTTGTAGGAATAAGAAGTAAGCTTAATAAAGGGATGAAATACTCTACTTCTGTGAAAAGTTTTTTATTTTTTGTTTTGATTGAGTGAAAGAAAAGTGGATTGTATAGTGAAAATTCAGATATCTAGAAAAGTGTGAATCTATTGAAAATGTAAAGAGTGTGTTATAAGCGCTAACGAGTATCTTTCTAAAACCTTTCTCCTTTTAATTATTATCAACCCAGTTTTCTATTCAATTAGATTGATCTAAAGTATTTTCTTGCTTATTGTTTTACTATATATTACTCAATATATAGTATTCTATATAATCTGTATTTCCTTTATATCAAGATCTCCTAAAGGGTATTTAATAGGTAGATTACTTATTGTTCTTCTGTATATTCGACTCAGTAATTTGTTTTAAGGTATATATATCGTGATCGTTCGTTTGCTCGCTTATAGCCACTGTACACATTTTCGTATACTTCATAAAACTGTTTTGTTTATTCGCCTCGAGGCGTTCCATTGTCGTGCGAATCCTATTGGCTCTGAGTACTCTTATTCCATTCGATCGAGATGCACAACTCCTCTTTCTTCAGTAGTAATACCCTCAGGTTTGTAGCCGGCACCGTATACAGGTAGGACTTCGTCTTCGCCGACCATATAATATTACTTAAATTGTATTATATATATGATTAATTATAAAATTCTATAAAACTTTATAAAAATCCTATAAAAGATTATTTGAAGTTATTTTGAAAAGAAGATAATTAGTGAAGAAATCACATGATTAGCATCTGACTTTTGTATCTAATTATATACTAAATTGAAAATTAGAATTCATTAAAAACTTTTTTCAAAAATAATCTACTCTCATTCATTCTGATAGTTTTATTAGCCCAAAAAATACATGTATAAGTTTGGCATAATATTTTATACACCTCAAAAAGCATGATAATATGAAATTATATAATTCGCCCATCCCTAGAGCAGATGAGCCTTATTAAAGAAAATCCTTGATCATATGTAAAATTTGAACTGTTGACTCCACTTGGTGAGAACAGTGACTCGATAAGGTCAATGCACTAGGTGTTGGCCTTGAAAACTTTGCTCCCTAACCTTCAGAAATCATTATTAATTCAATTCCGGAGGCCCCCATTGGATTATGTAAGAATTGTGAGTTCCCCCTTCGACTTGAATGGCAATTCATTCGACAATGTCGTTTTGTCTACCGATAACTCCGATGTCGTTTTATGGATCGCGTCAATCGATGTGATGATCTAGTGTGAAGATTTGTGTCATCTAGCCCCTTTCAGATAACCTTACATCTGGGAAGCGAGAGCCGGCCCTTCATATGTTATCAACAGATGGTTTAATCATGGTGCCACCAAAGACTACTGTGCCCGTCATCATTTTGACTTGAGTAGGCTATGACGGCGTCAAGAAGAAATACGACAGGTGCATTTCTAGTGGAATTTTATGGCTTAATTCGTATGAAATCAAGCTCCTTTAGCCCCACATAAAGAAGTCCAGTTACTATGAGAATCCAATGATGAGATGAGAAAGAAGGTTAAATACGAAGTTTTTAATGCAAAGAGATGCACTAGAAGATCGACCGCTTAATTCGACGTTAAACTATAAATACCTAGCTCGGCAAATTATTCTCTTCCTCTAGAATCTTCAACTGATTAATCTCATGCACCAAAATTGGTACATATATCAGTACATATATTACTCTCTTATCCCCTAAATTTTACAATGTATTTCGTATTCAGAAAGTTGTATTCTAGTCGTCATAAGCCATATTCTATAATGGACGATGCATTCCATAGTAGCATAATGTATTTTATGGTATGAATTAATTTCGCGGCAGAATGGTACGGAGTAGATTCTAAAGAAGGAAGGTCATGTGATTTTTCATTTTTATCTTCATTTCCGTAGAACTTAAAATCTAGTCGATAATAGCTAGAATCTATCATCTTGAGATGAAATCCAAGGGGCATGGGAGTAAAACAGCTTCGAAAATCTAGGGCATGAGAGTAATTTGCGGTAATTGGTTTAGTTTATCGCGTTCTCTACCCTGTTTCGTACATCTCTTGGTTCTTAGTACAATCATATCCCCTGTCTAGCGTCCAGCTTTCTATCTCACCAGGATTTCGGTATCATAAAAACTTTATTTCAACGGTCATAAGTAGTGGCGCCGGCGAGTTGTGCTGTCCACATAGGACCTCGGGAAGGTTATGAATTATCACGAACTGTGGCGTCGAAATTGATTGGTCTTATCTCATCCCACATCACCAATGAAATTCCGTATCAGTTAGTCATATCAGACGATAGGTATAATGAAAGCTTTTGCTAGGACCTTGACCTTTCAAATCTAAACTTAATTTCATGAAGTTCATTACTTCCCTAATCATGGTCGTTGATGGGGCTTAGATATTCACTCTAGTTCAATCCACCTTCATTTTATCATTCACCGTCGATATGTACAGAATTCTTACTCATCCCCCATTCCAACCGTACTTTACTGGTATAATATTTTCTTCTCGGCGTACATTCGTATCTTTCACAACGGCATCATTTGATCTTCAAGATGTTGGCCAGTTTTCTATCTAAAAGGATTACGATACTCATCATTGTTATCTTCGTTTTGTATCTTACTCTTCGAGACCAGTTATGGTCTTTAGAAACTCCTGTCTTTCTCCAGGAGCCCTTCTCTAGCTTCACCATCAGTACCACTTATACTACTTCCAATAAACCGAACGATCTCACAAATCTCAATGTCTCAATCCATACCACCGATATTACAATAAATCCCACGACAGATGAAATAAGAATATCAGATATAGTCCACAGGCTACATGAAGCCGCACCACCAAAACTTACCGAAAGTGCCGCATGTGTAGGCCGAACCCTTGGAATTGAAGAAGTCACAAATAGTACAGAGCGTCGAGATGTCACACCAGTATCCGACGAACAAGTTGAAGCCGCAAGACTCGCACATGAATCTGCGGTAGAAATAATACGAAATTCGACTCACCTAATTCCATATAAATCTGGTACCAAAGGAATCGTAACTGTAGCAGGTGGGAGATTCACCGGCGCATTACTCGTCTCGCTGCGCATGCTTCGCCGAACAAATTCTACATTACCAGTGGAAGTCTTCATGCCGAATCCAGAGGACTACAATGAACAAACCTGTGAAGTAGTGTTACCATCACTTAATGCGCGCTGTGTTATGATTCCAAAATACGAAGGCCTCACTATTTCCAAATATCAATATAAGATATTTGCAGTTCTTCTGAGTAAATTTGAGGACGTGTTGTTTTTGGATGCGGATAACTTCCCAATTGTGGACCCGGTTGAGTGGCTTGAAGCACCGGTTTTCAAACAGAATGGCTATGTTCTGGTGAGAAACTTCCTTTCCTAAAAAAAATCTTCAAAAATATCACTTGCTAACAACTGTGCAGTGGCCCGACTTCTGGTGGGCGACCACATCTCCCCACTACTTCCAAGTCCTTGGAGTTCCCACTCCTTCTCTTCTCTCCCTCGGCACCACCGAATCTGGTCAAGTAATCATGTCCAAACGTACACATAGCGATGTCCTCCTTCTAGTCCTCTACTACAATATTTTCGGTCCCTCATTCTATTACCCACTGTTAACGCAATGCGATGCCGGCGAGGGTGATAAGGAAACCTGGTTATATGCCGCTATTGCCCTCGAAAGGAACTACTATCAAGTAAGACAGCGAAATGGAATCATCGGACATCATACCGCCGGCGGATTTAAAAGCTCAAGTATGATGCAACATAATCCCAGCGATGATTATTCTGAATACCTTCGAGAAGAAACGGAGCAGAAAGAGCATCCAGTTTTCAGAAAAGATAAGGATGCCGAGGTTGTGTTTATGCATCACAATCTTATTAAACTATCACCGGTTGAAATGATCGATTGGATAGCTAAAAACAAAGGAAGTAGAATGTGGGGAAAGAAGGAAAGTACGATGAAGACCTTCAAAGGACATGATCTAGAAAAGACAGTTTGGGAGGAAGTTCTCTGGGTGGGTTGTCAGTATGGAGAAAGTTTGCTCAATTGGACTGAGGAGGTTTGTGAGGGACTAATGGGACACTGGGGAGGTATTGTGGCAAGGGAGGCGGAAGAGGAAATTCGAAAGATGTTTGGAGTCAATAAACAGGCGGCGACAAAGGAAAAAAAGGGAGAGTAATGATGGAAAATGCTGGTTTGATATGGAGTTTGGGTATTCTTCTTCTTGTGGATACAATTTTGGATGAATTTAAAGGTGTTTCGAGGTGGGCCAGGGATTGGATGCTCACGCACGGCGCTGCAAAAGCAACATTGGGATTTTTGGGAAACGATGTCCAGTTGGATAAATTACGACTTTACGGCGTCTCCGCATGGGAAGGATAGACATAGAAACAAGGACCAGCTATGTAGCTAGGAATACCCGCTGAAAGTATTTAAATCAAAATCTAGGATACTCAATGAATAAATTGAAAAAGGGAGACAAAACTCAATCTTGTATGCCAAAGTACAGTGAACAGGATTTTGTAACTACTAGGATTTCTGGTGGACCGGACTGCAATCCAAAAATGGGGGATTTAACTGGGATTACTCAAGAAATCTTAAGAGATTTACAATGTTTTAAGACCTAGAAACTCTCAAGTTGGATTGCATTCTGAAGTCTTGGACACTCTGACGAGGACATAGAGTGGTGAACACGACGAAATGATAGGTCAAAGAGGAGGATATATAAAACAAATAATTGATAGGCAAACTCAAGTATAACAACTCGTCAATACGGCAAAGGTACGTCATCAAACATCGTACGCGACTTTCTCGATCTCAGAAAAGGTCCAGGTGGTGGAGGATAATGCCCGGGATAAATCCCACTTACTCTTGCTGCAGGCGCAAAACCGAATCCGGATTTCGTCTCTGGCCTAGGATATTCATCTGGTAAACGTGCGCGCCTCTGTTTTGTCTTCTTTCCCCATAGATTTTTAAATCCAGCCCAGAAATTGTACCACTCGTCGGACCATATCAACACCAAAACTATGATGATTATTGTAATAGGAATAGCAATCGCCCAGAATACCCATTGTGTGACTTCCATGTTGCGCACATCATTGGTGTTCATGCCAAGAATGGAAGCGACAGTGCTTAGTGGCAGGAAGATAATCGTTACGATGGTGAATGCGTAGACGGCAGTTTCTTGTCTATCTTTGTTTGTATCAATACTTCGAAGATTCTAAGTCATCGTATTAGTAGTTGCCTCTGATATTACAGGAACTTGTGAATGCAAGGGAAAATATTACCCAATCCTCGAGGTACATAGCGCGACTGTTGATATCACGAAATACTTCGATACGCTCATCAATAAGTGCGAGACTTTCTCGAAAGAGGAGACCTTGCACTCCACGGGTGTTATCGCGAGCTGACTGGTTAATTGCATGACCTGTAGTCATGATTTCCAAATCTCCGTAGTTGTCGCCATGATAAACCGATCGCTCGTGATTCCTGTAATTTGCAGTACGAGGTTCAAAAAATATTGGCGGTTTATACTCATATTTATGTTCAGGAACAACTCGATTCAATCTGGCATTCTGGAAATTTGATCTCGATTGAGCGTGCAAAGCGTTTTGTATGACTTCTCTTTGAGTTTCTAGGGTTTCTAGAATGACTGAAATTTCTTGCTTCAAGTCAGTGATTCTACCTTGATGCTCTCTATTGATCGGATCGGCATCGATGTCAGATTCCTGGTGCCTTGTTAGATGGCTAAAGTACTGCTTATGTCGGAACACTTACCAGGGATATCATGTAGTCAACATACGTCGTACAGATATCTGGACAAGAGCCCGTCAAATCTTGCGAAAGCTGAAAAGTTATGAGAGAAGCCACATCGAAGGGTCCAAAAACAACATATTCCGAAAGCTGGTATTTCGATAGTGTCTGAAGAGTTTCCTTCATACCTTCATTCATAAGGTCTAGACATAAATTCATATGTGTGTACCAGGAAGATGCCATATCCTTTGTAAAAGCGAGAGCCATAAGTACATGTAACCATGCTCGAGGCAACTTCTCAGAGATACCGATTTCGCAGCGCTCAAGAATTGGAACTTCAGACAGAAGCTCTTTGAAAACTTCTACGCGCTTTCCAATGAGCGCCATCCAATCAATGATTTGTTTGACATCTCTCGTATCTACGATCCAAGCTCTGTCAGAAAACCTTTGCGGCACAGAATTTAAATCATCATTCTCTAGAGACCCGTCTACTTGAATCAGACCATATGGAAGCATTGCCTGATGATTAGCTTAGGTTAGAGTCACTTGAAAAGTGGCCAACTCACTACAACTATCTCATATAATGGACCCCAAAACTCTTCAGTGGTAGGACCAAAATCCTGTGGGGATAGAAAGAATCTAAATAGAACCTCCGCAGCATTGGCAAGTTCCACCTGTAATTCGTATGTTGCCTGAAGCGATTGGTCCGTCTGAATCTTGCTTTCAACTTCAAACAAAATATCATAAAACTGTTTTCTTGTATGCCTTGGGCTAGCTTTGTACGCAAATCTTTCGTTGATATTAATTTTCTGCAAAAGAAAATTATCAATTTCCTGTAGATCATCATGTAGTAAAGTTTTATTGATTATCGCAACATTACGGGCTGTCGAGCTTCTGGTGACATTTGGAGTAATTGATTTGTCAATTTGTGTGTTCATCCAGTTGAAGACGTGGAGCTCATCCGAACGGTTCATTTCTGCTACTTCCGAAGCGTCGACAGATTTAGAATGCGAGACTTTCGTATTGACATCTTCTTTTGGTATTTTCAAGTCCGGTTGGTGAGAGGCACTATCCTTTTCGGGATTTTGGCTTCCTTTCCCAAATCCTCCGATAGAATCACTCGGTACAATCAGAACCCCAGCTGGTGGCCTTTTTGACTTTGAGCTGACGCGTGTTAACAATAACCAAATAATTACATCTCTAAAGAGCTTACCTTAGTCGAAAATGAAGGCAAACTTTTGAGCTTTTGGCTCGTCTGAAAATCCTTGGCCAATCCTCTGGTGCGATTACATGACCGTCATACGCAAATTCAAATCTAAGTGGCCAAATCTCGAAGAAATGTTTCACAAAATCCTAAGATGGCATTAGCTATCACACCAGCGAGTTTCAAAATATAATAGGATAATCTCACAATCCATGTCGTACACTCTCCAATGGGAAATGACCATAATTTAGAGCCCGAGTCTGACACGAGAAGCGTATGCATCGGTGAATTAGAGTTGTCACTTCGGAATGGAGCCATTGAAATGGAGTCTTTGCTAATTTGTGCTGTGGATAATCCAGCACACGATATTATGGAAGCTAGAGGTCTAGTCAGTCTTATACGACCCCAAAAAAAATCAAACTGGCTCTATTTACAGTCGTCTAGGATGAGAAACCAAGCCTGACCGATATGAAAGCAAGACCCTGCTGGTGTATCTGGTTGGTGACATACTGCTTGCTTCAAGTCACGCTCCTTCGGCGTCATAGATTGCCGTGTTTGTAAGAGTGTTCTTGGGGGGTGGGATGAAGACTTTAAAGTCGAAGAAGTGTATTTTTGCAGAGAAAAGTACGGTAGACAAAGCCATGTAAGTTTCCTTGGTTTGAATGTCGTGGATGGAGTTTCATCGCGGAGCGATTCTTGTAGAAGCTTTGGAATTATATGCCCTACTTTAGTGCGGCTGGAAACCTGCAATGTTTTATGATATCTTCTTTTCACGAGGTCTAGTATTCTAGAAATACCAAGTCTTTCACCTTCTTTTAGTCCATCAAGATCCAATATGCTACTCTAAAAAAGCCATTAGTCATATAACGATTTGCCTTCGCACTTACCGAGAGACTTACATGGAAGCTATCAAAATCCATTGTTGAATCTTCGAATTGACTTGAAACATTTAGTAATTATCTTAAAACGTGTATCAAGGCACTCACACCCAGCTGAAAAGAGGCGAAGGCAATTTTACAGTAGATCCAGCTTGCCCAGGTACTATCGTGAAATTGACAGAATGCATTCCCCCCATGATTCCATCGCCGTTATAATGGGATTGTATTATCTTATCAATCTTAGGACGCTGCATTAACAACGATTTATGTTTCTGAAGCGGGAGCGATGGTACTCCCTTCTCAGAAGATCCTGAGTTTAAGTCATCTGTCAATTCTGACTCCAGCGCATTTTTACTATGGCGGGAAAGCCTGAAAGAATATGCCTCAGACTCGGGATCGAATGACTCAATATAGGTTTCGGCAGCCTTATTTTCATGGATTCCATATCTTCCACCATAGATACTTAAGTTGGGCACTCTTTCATGACTTGAACTTCGAGACCCATTGTATCGAAACCGGGTGGGGGACCTGGATCTGGAGCGACGTCTTTCCCTAGACCTGGCACGAGTAGAGTAAGGTTGTTCTCTTGCAGCCGCTCTTTTCAAGTAAATTTTGTCACCAGCTCCTTCATGAAAGAATACAGGAGGAGGTGCCGAGCTGTAATAAGATTTCGCCTGGTCTCTGCGATGGTCGACAGACGCTGTAAATGGACTTCTGGGACGACTTCTAGTAATTTCAGGTGGTGGTGGGCTCGGAGAAACAAAGCGACTGGGTGGTCTGGTTGTCCGCTGATCATTGTAGAGATCGTGATAATCGTTTTCATTATCTATGATGCCGCGTGAGGAACTTGGTACAGCAACATGGCGCTGCTCTCCACCGCGCCGGCGGTGAACACCAATTTCTGGTATTTGTGTGGGGTTCTCATCAAACCGGACGGGTAACGTTTCTGCACGGCGAGGTCCACAAAGACGCTCATATAGATAGCCATCGTCAGGAGGACGACGTGCCATTTTTCTTTTCCTAGTAGAGATCTGTTGCACTTCTCACTGTTGATGCTTGGGAAGCTTCTCGGTAGGCAGATTGTCATTGTCAGCCCCAGTAAGCTGATAAGACGCCGAGTGTGTGACTAACACAGATGTGAGGATACTGTATCGTAAAACTTTCCCTTACGTTAAGCACTTTAAAGACGTATTACATGAATTGAGCATAAGAATGAATAGATCACAACCCGAGTTACTTCTTGTAATGTTGCTGTATTTAACTCGCAACGATAGCACTTCGTGTTACCCCAGCTCTACCCCTGTCATTGATAGAATAGAACTTAACCTTAATGATCACGTGTAG